AAAAAAAAAAAAAAAAAAAGAAAAGAAAAAGGAAGGACGTGACTGCTCCTAGGTATGGTAGAGGAGAAGGTTTACTGTAGATAAAAGGGAGAGCATAGCCAGAGGCAGGGACATCTGGGAGAGTCCAGAGTGGACATGACCAGAATGGCTGGGCCATGTGAGGAGGGAGGGAAGGGAAAGACAGACCAAGAAGCCAGAAGGGTAAAGGGTAGACAAAAGGGGTCACTGGATTATATACGGAAGGGCAGCCCAGCCCATGGGCTGGAGAGTTTAGGGTAGAGGGCTGGGTATGCCTGCCATACCTTTACAAGTAGGGACTAGGGGATGCTGGGAGAACCTGGCAGCCAGGTCCACTTTGACAAGTTAAATAGGCACCTCAGCCATTTGTCCCGGGGCGTGAGCCCTGACATTGTCTGCACAAAGTCATTAACTATAGACTTATTTGCAATGGTGAAGTACTTACTAGAAGTAATCTATAGTTTAAAAATGGAGAAAGGGTCAGATATGGTGGTACACATCTGTGATGCCCGTGCTCAGGAGGCTGAGACAGGAGACTGAACAGTTGAAGGCCAGCCTGGGCTACAAGTTAGGCAATGTCTCTAAATACACAAATAAAAAGGCTGAGGAGATAGCTCAATTGACTAAGGATACTTACTACTATGCAGGCATGAGGAACTGGATTGGGTCCTCAGCACCCATATAAAAAGCTAAGTGTTGTGTGTACTGGCGTTAGGAGAGGGGAGGCAGACACAGGTGATCCCCAAAGCTTGGAGGACAGTCAGTCTACCCAAACTATGGGCTCCAAGCTCAGTGAGAGACCTTGCCTCCAAAAAATAAAGTTGAAAGCAGTCAAGAAAAACACCCTGAACATATTCCAGCCCACAACTCCAGCGGAAACCCCTTGTTCCACCAGAGGCCATGCTGAAAGCCCTAACTCCATGTAAAGCCCCTCATCCTCCACCCCTGCCCACAGACTGCCAACACTCTCAGTTCCTGCCCACCCTACCCCAAACTTCCCGTCCTTGTCACTGCCTGTCTGGTATATGCCCAATCGCCACCCCCTCCCTGTCACCATATCCCAGCCTGCTGAGAATCCCCTGCTAGTTCAAAGGCCACTCCTGCCACCATAAGTCCAGTCCCCAACTTAGGTGGAGACCCTCTAATTAATCACAGGCCACTTCGGCCAGAAGACCTGAGAGGAAACAGAAACCAAGGAACTGAACACCCATCAACAAAGACATACTCAGAAATCAGCACCCAGACCTATAATCACCCCAAACTCAGATGCCTAGATGCCAGTGTAAGAACCCAATCAACAGCCAGGGCAATATGGCACCACCAGAGCCCAGCTAGCCTACTATAGCAAGTCCTGAATATTCCCACACAGCTGAAGCACAAGGAAACAACTTTAAAACCAACTTTATGAAGATGAGAGAGGTCCTTAAAGAGGAAATAAATCCCTTTTAAAAGCCAAGAAAAAAAACAAACAGTTGAAGAAAACAAATAAAACTGTTCAAGTCCTGAAACTAGAAATAGAAGCAAGGAAGAAAATACAAACTGAAGGAATTCTGGAAATGGAAAATCTGGTTAAGCAAACAGGAACTACAGATGCAAGCATCATCAACAGAACACAAGACAGGAAAGAACAGAATCTCAGGCGTTGAAGATACAATAGAAGAGATAGATACATTGGCCAAAGAAATGTTAAATGTAAAAAATTCCTGATGCAAAACATCCAGGAAATACGGTACACTGTGAAAAGACCAAATCTAAGAATAAAAGGAATAGAAGAAGGAAAAGTAACCAGCTCAAAGGCCCCCAATTTTTTTTTCAACACAGTTTTTCTGTGTAACAGCCCTGGCTGTACTGGAACTCGCTCTGTAGCCCAGGCTGGCCTCCAACTCAGAGATCTGTCTGTCTCTGCCTCCCAAGTGCTGGGATTAAAGGTGTGTGCTACGACCACCCTTGCTCAGAACATATTTTTAACAAAATCGTAGAAGAAAATTTTCCTGACTTAAAAAAGGAGGTGGCTATAAAGATACAAGAAGCATATACAACACCAAATAGATTGGACCAGAAAGGAAAATCCCCATGACACATAGTAATCAAAACACTAAACACACAAAACAAAGAAAGAATATTAAAAGCTGCAAGGGAAAAGGGCCAAGTGACATACAGGCAGACCTATTAGAATTACACCCGACTTCTCAATGGAGACTCGAAAGCTAGAAGGGCCTGGACAGATGCAATGTAGACTCTAAAGTCAAATTTAAATAACATCTATCCAAATATCTGGCCCTACAGAAAGTACTAAAAGGAAAACTCCAACCCACGGATGTTGTGGATATCGCTCTATATAAATAAAGCACTGATTAGCCAGTCACCAGGCAGGAGGTATAGGCGGGACAAGGAGAGAGGAGAATTGAGGAAGGAGGAAGGAAAGGGAGACTGCCTGGAGCTGCCGCCGCCAGAACAAGGAAGATGTAAAGTACTGGTAAGCCACAAGCCACGTGGCAAGTTAAAGATTAATAGAAATGGGCTGAATATAAGAGCGAGAGCTAGACAATCTCACACCAGCAAAACCAAAAGGGATGCATGTGCGCACTCGTACACACTCTACCACCACCATCAACAACAACAAAATAACAGTAACTAATAGTCATTGGTCATTGATATCTCAATAGCAATGGACTCAACTGAATATTTTTGCATCTATGTTCATGAGGAAAATTGGTCTGTAATTCTATTTCCTTAGGGGTTATAGGTCTATTCAAATTGTTTATCTGATCTTGATTTAACTTTGGAAATAGAAGCAGTCATTAAAAGTCACCCAAACGCCCCCTACCCCCCAAAAAGCCCAGGGCCAGATGATTTTAGCCCAGAATCTTATCAGACTTTCAAAGAAGAGCTAACGCCAATACTCCTCAAATTACTGCATGAAATAGAAACAGAAGGAACATTGCCGAAATCATTTCATGAGGCCACAATCACCCTGATACCCAAACTACATGATTCAACAAAGAAAGAGAATTACAGACCAATTTTCTTTATGAACATTGATGCAAAAATACTCAATAAAATATTCACAAACCAAATCCAAGAATACATTAACAAGATCATCCACCATGATCAAGTAGGCTTCATCCCAGAGATGCAGGGATGGTTCAACACATGAAAATCTGTCAATATAATACACTAAATAAACAAACTGAAAGAAAAAAAAAAAACCCAACACATTATCATCTATCTCATTAGATGCTGAAAAAGCCTGACAAAATCCAACATCCCTTCATGATAAGTCTTGAAGAGATCAGGGATACAGGAACACTCCTAAACATAATAAAGGCAATTTACAGCAAGTCAATAGCCAACATCAAATTAAATGGAGACTCAAAGCAATTCCACTAAAATCAGGAATAAGACAAGGCTGTCCACTCTTTCCCTATCTATTCAATATAGTAAATGAAATTCTAGCTAGAGCAATAAGGCAACTGAAGGAGATCAAGGGGATACAAATTGGGAAGGAAGAAGTCAAAGTATCGGGATTTGCAGGTGATATGATAGTATACATAAGCTGACCCTAAAAATTCTACCAGAGAACTCCTATATCTGATAAACACTTCAGTAAAATGGCTGGATACAAGATCAATTAAAAATAAACACAAACAAAAAACCCAAAACATCAGTATCCCTCCTATATACAAATGACAAACACGCTGAGAAAGAAATCAGGGAAAGAACACCCTTCACAATAGCCACAAATAATATAAAATATCTTGAGGTAACTCTAGTCAAGCAAATGAAAGACAAGAACTTCAAGTCTTTGAAGAAAGAAACTGGAGGATATATCAGAAGATGGAAAGATCTCCCATGCTCATGGATTGGTAGGATTAGTATAGTGAAAATGGCAATCTTACCAAAAGCAATCTACAGGTTCAACACAATCCACATCAAAATTTCAACAAAATTCTTCACAGACCTTGAAAAGACAATACTCAACTTCATATGGAAAAAAAAAAACTCAGGATAGCTAAAATAATACTGTATAATAAAAGAACTTCTAGAGCTATCACCATCCCTAATTTCAAGCTATACTACAGAGCTATAGTAATAAAAAAAAAATGCATGGTATTGGCATAAAAACAAACAGGCTGATCAATGGAATCAAATCAAAGACTCAGACTTAAATCCACACACCTAGGGACAGCTGATTTTTGACAAAGAAGCCAGAAATACACAATGGAAAAAAGAAAGTATCTTCCACAAATGGTGCTGTCTAACTGGACATCAGCATGTAGAAAAATGCAAATAGATCCATATCTATTGCCATGCACAAAACTCAAGAACAAGTGGATCAAAGACCTCAACATAAAACCTGATACACTGAACCTGATAGAAGAGAAAGTGGGCAATAGTCTTCAACGCATTGGCACAGGAGACAACTTTCTGAACAGAACACTGATAGCACAGGCACTAAGAACAACACTCAATAAATGGAACCTCATGAAACTGAAAAAAATTCTTTAAGGCAAAGGACACCATCAATAGGACAAAATGTCAGCCTACAGAATGGAAAGAGATGTCCCCCAACTCCACATCCAACAGAGGGCTAATGCCTAAAATATATAAAGAACTCAAGAAAGTAGACATCAACAAACCAAAAATCTAATTTTAAAATGGGGTACAGATCTAAACAGAGAATTCTCAACAGAGGAATCTCAAATTTCTGAGAAACACTTAAAGAAACATTCAACATCCTTAGCCATCAAGGAAATGGCTATTTGACCTACAATTTGTCTTGCCTGCAAGATGTGCTGAGGTAATGGTGATTCAGAACTTGTGGGAATGGCCAACCAATGATTGGCCCAACTGGAGGCCCATGTCATGAGAGGGAGCCCACACCTGACACTGTCTGGATGGCTAGGCTGGATAGCACAGAGACCCAGGATAGAACCACACACAACTGGAAAAAAATAAATAAATAAAATCAATGAAATGATTCCTAGTGATACTCTGCTACACACATAAATCAGTGCCTAGCCCAACTGTCATCAGAGACTTCATCCAGCCACTGAAGCAGATACAGAGACCTACAGCCAAACACTAGGCAGAGCCAGGAGATCCCTGGAAAGAAGGCAGAGGAGTGGAGGACACCATGAGAACAGGTGTCTCAGGGGCCACAGAGTCAGCTAAGCAGGGTTCAGAGACTGAACTATGTCCTCTGCATATATATTACGCTGTAAAATTTAGTACTCGTGAGACTCCTAACAGTGAGTGGGGGATACCTTTGACTCTTTTGCCTGCACTTGGGACCCTTTCCTTCCTATGGGGTTGCCTTGTCAAACCTTGATGAGGGTTTGTGCCTAGTCTTATAATTTTTTTTCCGAGACAAGGTCTCTTTGTATAGCCCTGGTTGTCCTGGAACTCCTCTGTAGACCAGGCTGGCCTTGAACTCAGAAATCTACCTGTCTCTGCCTTCCAAAGGCAGGAATTAAATGTGTGTGTCACTACTGTTGGCTTGTTCCTTTTGTTTTGGTCTTTGGTTTTTTTTTTTTTTTTTTTTTTTGAGTAAAACTGAAATTTATTATATGCCACAGTCGTCCTAGGGACCTCCATGCTATATATATAGCCTCTATGGTTCTATGGGTTGTGGTCTGATTGTTCTTTATTTTATATCTAGAGTCCACCAATGAGTGAGTACATACCATAACTGTCTTTCTGGGTTTGGGTTACCTCACTCAGAATGATTTTTTCTAGTTCCATCCATTTGCCTGCAAATTTCATGCTTTCATTGTTTTTGTCTGCTGAGTAGTACTCCATTGTGTGGGGTTTTTTTATTAACATTAATTATGCATATTAATGGGGTTTTGTATGCTATTTCCATATGTGAATAAAACCCTCTTTTTTTCAATAGCACTGAAAAAAAAAGATTTTCAGTCATATTTTTTAAGTTTATTTTTTAAGAATTTTTAAATTTGTTTGTGTGTTTGGGTGTGGTATAGGTGTGTACATGTGTATGGAGGCCAATAGCAGTACTTTCTCGTTGGGACGGCTAGCTCACAAATGATGACACTTATTACTAATTATGAAAGCTTGGTCTTAGCTTAGGCTTGTTCTCAACTAGCACTTATAACTTAAATTCACCCATTTATGTTAATGTATGTTCTGTCACATTGTATTACCTCATCTCAATACTGCCCATCCTTTCTCCAAATCTGGCTGGCAACTCTGCCTTTCTCCTTCCCAGAGTTTTCTCTCTGCCCGGAAGTCTATACCTCCTGCCTAGCTACTGGCCATCCAGCTTTTTATTACACCAGTCACAGCAATACATATTCACACAGTGTACAAATAACCAACAACAGGCCAAAGGTCAGCATTGGGTTTTTTCTTTTTTTTTTTTTTTGGGTTTTTTCTTTTTTAAATTCTTCTCTCATACGTTACATCCCCACCAGTTTCCTCTCCACTCCTCCCCATCCCACCCCACCTTCCCTCTCCCCCAGATCCACTTCCCTGTTTCCCTGTCAACTGAATCTGGCATAACAAATTACAATCAGACTAAGCTGGGTGGTGGCGGCGCTTGCCTTTAATCGGGAGGCAGAAGCAGAAGGATCTCTGAGTTCAAGGCCAGCCTAGTCGACAGAGCAAGTTCCAGGACAGGCTCCAAAACTACACAGAGAACAAACAAATACTAAAAATTTAAATATTTATTTTATGAGTATGAATATGTACCTGTGAGGACCCAGAAGTTACAGACGCTTGTGAGTCACCATATGGGTGCTGAGATCAAACCTAGGTCCTCTGCAAGAGCAACAAGTACTCTTAATCACTGAGCCATCTCTCTGGCCTTTTTTATTTTTTTGAGTTAGGGTATCACTAGGTGGCCATGGTTGGCCTGGAACTTGCAGAGAACCACCTTCCTCTGCCTCCCAAGGGCTATACTTAAATGGGTACATCACCACACCCAGCCTTAAACACTAAGTAGTTTTTAAAAAACTGTTCAGAAGTATAAAAATCGGTGACCTGAGAATATGGCTCAGATAATAGAGTGGCAGCCCAGGACCACATAAATTAGGTGTGGTGGCTATAATCTCCTGCAATCTCATCACTAGAGAGGTAGAAATAGTTAAGAACTATTAAGAAATAGTTAAGAAAGTTAAAGGTCATCCTTGGCTACACAGCAAGTTTGATGTTAGCCTGAACTACATGAGATTCTTGTCTCAAAAACAAACAAAAAACAAAAATGAATTCAGAAGTATAAAAAATGATTATAGTCAGAAATAGTGGTACCTGCCTGTACTCTTAGCACCTGGGAAACTGCAGGTGCATCGTAAATCAAGTCAAGGCTAGCCTGGGCTATACAGTGAGACCTTGTCTCAAATATTTTAAGTAGAAAATGCAAAATTAGATGTATAGTTTGATAGTAAAATATGCACAAATATGGATAATTCTGAGAGAAATTCAGCATGTTTCAGAGAAAAATTCAGAAAACAAATCCAAACACCTTGAACCGTGATCAGCTTATGGACAGTTTTCCACTTAGCCATCCTTACACTTCCAGAAATGGCCTAACATTGTCTTTTATAGGAGGGGCAATCTTCTTTCCCGTGGTTGGTGGGCAGAACCTTCAGCTGGACCACAGAGGCTGATAGCTAAGACCTTTAGCAAGCAATTCCTCCAGTGCCCAGTTCAAACACACGTTTACTTCAAGCTCAAATAACCATTCTAGCATTTTCATCTCAAAGTACGCCACTTCTTTACACATGCAGTAAGAGAAATTATGGGTAACTTAGTTTCTGCTCATATTTCTTTCAATGAAAAGTTTTATACAATTGGCAGGTATCTGTTCTTTTATAAAAATTTTAATAAATGAAAGTATCTACATCTGAAAAAAAATCTGGCAAAGGCATCATTCCTAACAGAAGGGCCTGATTTGGGAGACTGTCCTGTCGTTCTAAGAACCCAAGGACAATACACAGGGTGATTCAAGACAATGACCACATACTCACACCAAAGTGACTGGCCCCAAGATTCCTCTTTTTTTTTTTTTTTTTTTGAGACAGGGTTTCACTTGTAGCCCTAGTTGTCCTAGAACTCACTCTGTAGACCAGGCTGGCCTTGAACTCACAGAACTCCCGAGTGCTGGGATTAAAGGCGTGCCCACCACTGTCTGGCAGCCCTAGATTCCTAACTAAGGGAACATGGCATTCAGGAAGCCCCAAAGGTATCGCAGAGCTGCTTCACGGGACTCACCTCCGGGCCTCCCACTCTCTTCGCTGCCTCCTCTTTGTGGTTCGTGCCGCAATCTCCTGAAATAGTGACAAACAAAAGAAAAGTGTGGTGGTTTGAATGAGAACGGCCCCCACAGGCTCATGTTTGAATGCTTGTTTCCCAGTTGGTGGGACTGTTTGGGAAGGATTAGGAGGTGTGGCCTTGTGGGAGGTGTGTTGCTGGGGGTGGGTTTTGAGGTTTCAAAAGCCCACTCGATTCTCAGTGTGCTCTGTCTGCCTCCTACTTGCAGTTATGGATGTAAGTTCTCAGCTACTGCCCCAGTGCGATGCCTGCCATGGCAATGACAGACTCAAAGCCCCTGCAACCATGGGCTCTCAGTTAAATGTTTTCTTTTATAAAATGCCTTGGTCATGGTGTTTTGTCACAGCAATAGAAAATCTAAGACAAAAAGGTTAAGCCTGACAAGGCACTTTGAAAGAAGCCCCTAGGCACAGACCCCTTGAGGGAGAATGTGGGTTTTGTCCATGCTCCAAGTCCAGCCTATACCTGCAAACCTGAATGGCTGAGGAAGGGGGCGACTGGGTCACTTGGCCTCCAGAACTTGGCAGACACCATCCAAATACTGAAGAGCACAGGCTTTCCTTGCATGTGCTCCACACTACACTCAGCATCTGGCCACTCTGCCTATTCAGCATCCAAAACACCTAGATATTACAGCCAGGAAGATAGAGCTGTGATCCTTAGTGCCTGCTAGACATATCTAAAACCCACAGATGTTACAGAGGCTAAGTACGACTCCAAAGGTGGGAGCACAGGCACGAGTTAGGGACCCCTGTGTGGCCTGGTTTCCCTTTGTGGCTCACCCAGACTTGAAGGCCAAGAAGCTGCCAACCTGGGCACACCAACAGAAGGAGAACAAAGTCCCCAACGAAAGATGCCTTATCAAGGCGAGGAAGGGATACATTGTGAGACCCTGTCTCAAAAAGAACAAACACCCCAAAATCAAAAATCTCCATAAAAAGCCAAAGGAAGCTCACACAGAATAAACCCAAACTCCTGAGTATTAAAGAGAAAAAAAAGGCAATAACAAAAACTCATGCACACACACAAAACAACAGCCAAAAAAAAACAAAAACAAAAAAACCCCTACAATCCCTTATGTGTGTGGGAAAGCAGAATACACGACTGGATGTCTCCTCAGAAACCACGGAGGCACAGACCTGTAGGCTCAGCCTTCAGGAGGCTGAAGGACAGGAATGAAAGTTTGAGGCTAACCTGGATTATACTACAAGACTCTGCCTCAAAAATAAAATCTAAATCGGGGTACGATTATGCTTTCCTCAGATAAGCACCAGCAAGTCTGCTGGGAAGTAAACAAAATGAAGGGATGGCTGGAGGAGCAGCGTGAGAGCAGGTCCGAGCCGACATCCCGAGACCACCCAGAGCTCTGTGACAGGAAGACGAGTGAGCACTGGAGACAGCAGGACACTTAGCTGTGAAGGACTCTGACCTGCCTCAGAATGCCACGCCTGGCTCACACATAACTCTCCTAACTGCTTCCTCCAGAGTGCCCACCCAGCCCAACGTACCTCTTCTAACCGCGTCCGCTTCTCAGAAGGCTCTGACCCATCATCACTCTCACTTCCTGAAAGATCTTCATCCTCTGCTTCATCCCTAAAGATGTCATCATAGGCAGGAACTTCGAGGTCATCCTCTTGCTTAATGAGCAATTTGATCTATGTTATAAAACAAAAAAAGCAATCATGATTTTCTTCTCCCCCTGCCAAAAAACAAGTTCTCATGATGCTCGTGTAGACTCTTACTTTTTCCTAACCGGCTGACTCCCAAGTGTTCTGTACATACAAACAGCACCTGTCTATGAAGAGCTCTAGGCTTCTCCGTACCGTTCAGTACAGCACTAGAGCTGTCCCACACGGCATACAGAGATTATGAAACTAAATTGTGAAAAGCATTTACAGTCTACTCTGGGCAACATTTCTTTCTTATGCTATACATTAAAAAAAGTCCCACAGTTGGCTTTTGATAGAGGATGTGAAAATGTTGCTATGGTTGTATATTTGGATATGGTTTATCCCCCAAAGGGTCCACCAAGCCAGAAGCTTGCTGACCGTGTAGGGTGCTGAGTAGAGCCATTTAAAGGTGGGTTCTGGAAAGAGTTAGGTCAGTCATAGCTCTCCCCTTGCTGATGCAGTAACACCATCTCTAGAGACAGAAGCTTGGTCTCCACCGGCAGGGTGGTCATAAAACTTCCTCAGCTTGCTGCTGTTTCCTGACTCACCATGGAATCTTTCTCCCTCTCCCACACACTTCCTCTCTTGGGAGACCATTCACCATAGGGGTCTCACAAGGGCACAGCAGATGTTTGTACCACGCTCTTGAATATCCAGGACAGTAAGTTAAATGTAACTTTTATCTATAAAGTACCCAGTCTCAGATGTTTTCTTACACAGATACAAGTAGGTCGAGACTTACACTAAGCCAATACAATTTCTGTCTCTCATAGCAATTCCAGACTGATTTCTCTTGAAGAAGTTTCTTCTATGAGGATTTCAGTCTGAAGCCACGTGGAAGGAGACCAAGTCAGACTGCTTGGTCAGCTGGTCTGTGCTAGGTTGCATATTTAAGGTGCAGAGGTTCAGAATAAGTACAGTAGAGCCATTTGGGGCTAAAATATCCTGATCCTTCACTTTCCAGATGATGCAATTCCACAAACGTGTTGTGCACATGCCCACGAGCAGGTAAGATGGGGTTCTTACGCTGAAGATATCCCCTAACTAGAGAAGATCCATGCAATGCTGCCACAGCATAAGAAGGTACAGACTGATTAAAGGGAGAGCACACATAAGGGAAGGCTCTAAAAGGGCCAGGTACCTGAGTGTCATTGTACACATTCACAACGTTGACTGGCCTGTGGGTGTCACACACAAAAAATACACTGTCTTCATCAGGCTGGAGGATATCCAACAGGTCTACGTTGGCTCCACAGTTTATGAGGATGAAATAGCGGAACTGAAAGGCGATAGAGACACTGTAAAGGAACTGCACCAAGGAGGCCCCACCCCCCTCAGCACTGTCAATCTCGGCGCTCCTCTGCCGAGCACATGTGGCCAGGCCCAGGAGGAACACTGCCCACAGCTGGCCTGGTTAGTGCCTTTCCCAGATGACACTGTAAAATGGACTCTGAGGCTTTCCGTACTTCCTGAAGAGCATGCTGAGGCTCAGCAAACGCAAGCCTTGTGCACAGACTCAACCGTTAGTGAAGAACAGACCAGGACTCCACGCACACACCAACGTCTCTCTGAATACTGCTAACTACACTGTCCTGCTGCCTTACCACATTCACAGCAAGCACTGTGTGGGTTAGGTCCGCAGGAAATCTTGGGCAACCCATACTTTATGGCCTCCTAAATAGTAAGTCCTTTATCAAAAGGAACCACCCACTACAGGAAAACCTTTCCTCAGTAACACCCAACTGCCTGGGTAGGCTCACACTTGTAATATAACACTTCGAAAGCCAAGGAAGGGGACTGCCCAAGAGTTCAAGGTCAGCACAGGCTGTCAAGTAAGGTCTTGTCTCACAGCACTGAAGGGAAAACTCAGTTGGTACAGGTACTTCAGTTACGAATAAATCTCTTCCAAGTCACCCTAGAATTGGTCAGGGACTCTAGAGGCCTTTGACACACTCTACCCACTCCGTACGTGTCCCCTTTCTTGTCCGGCCCCAGGTTGAGAGGTAAGGAGTCTTGGTTTTGCCACTTAAATGCAAAGGGAAAACATGTGTTTGGAAACTGGAATGTAGACAGCAGAGGTGTATCCTGGGAAAACACGCGAGGCCAGAGTAGGTGCTGTCCACATGCATACCTTTTCTATTTTTGAGACAGGATCTTGTTATGTAGATGAGGCTGGCCTCAAAACTTGCTATATGTAGTTCAGGTTTGCCTCAAATTCCTGATTTGGGGGGGGGGGGGCAAATGTTGATTCTGGCATCGTAACTTGAAGTGTAAGGAAACAGACACTTCAAAACACACTTACCCTACTAATCATTCTAAGATTCATTATTTCATACCTGTTCTTTATGTTCAAGAAATGCAGTTTCAAGTTCTTGCCACCCAGAAACTGGAACCAGAGTATACTGCACGTGGTCACACTGAAACAGGGCCTGGAGAGAAAGCATACTATCAGAACCCCGTCATTTAGGATAACTACCTTGAATCACCAGAAGCAAACAAATTAGCTGAGCTGAGAGAAGATCTATGTGATACGCTGTTTGGTAAAACATCAGTAGGAGCCGGGCAGTGGTGGTTTAATCCCAGCACTCGGGAGGCAGAGGCAGGCAGATCTCTGTGAGTTCAAGGCCAGCCTGGTCTACAGAGTGAGATCCAGGACAGCCAAGGCTACACAGAGAAACATTGTCTAAAACAAAATCGGTAGGAGAAGCTAGGTGGCAGGGGTGTGCGTGCTCAATGCACAGTTCTGCCAAATCTGTCAAATTTTGCCAAAGTCAAACACTGAAGGGAAAAGTTAATTTTAATTACAGGTGTTCTGAAAAGTTCCTGACCCCCCCCCCCACTCATTGTAAAAACCACAGTACAGTCAAAGCCCAAACTAATGATCTTCTCTTTAATAGACAGGGAATCCTGTATTTCCAGCACTCACGATGACGCCACTCCCAGCTATCACAGCCCTCTCTCAAATTCGATCTTTGAGAGGTCATTTACAGGTTCAAAGGTTTCAGAAGCGAAGCCATTTTTCACTGGGGTTATTGTAAAAACAAGACAAAGCAAAAACAAAGCACTACTTACTTGTCTCGCTGTTTACGCTTCTCTAGTGCCGGTACAGTTCGGAGGGGGACCCCTGGGCCCCTCCCCTCCCGCGCCCCACCTCCTGCCGGGGCCGACCCTGTTGCCTCTCCGCTCGCCCCTGCCCTAACTTCCTAAGATACTCAAGGCTCACCTGAAGGATCTTGCAAGCACACAAGGCATCCACATCCGAGGCCACAAAGAGAAGGACCCTCTGTTGAAGGAAATGCGGACAGGTGGGGTGAGCACGGGGACCTCAAACTCGGTGGCGACACCCCGTCCTGCTCGCCCACTCACGGACACGCGCCCCCATCCCTTCCCCCGGATAAGGTCTGGGCCAGGATCGCGGAGTGGGAGTCACCTGGCTGTGGACCAGCTCGTAGAACTCCTTGCGGAAATCGGACACGAACATAGCCACTGCGGCCGAATACCCAGAGCTGGCGCTGAGACACCGGCAGCCCTGGAGGTGGTCAAGACTCCCGCCAAACCCCGGCTCTCCCGATTGGCCCGTGCCAGCAGCCAATCGTTCTCAGCCTTCTCCTCCTTTCTGATTGGGTCCCGCTGGGCGACAGCCAATAAAGCTCCGCTATTGGCGGCTGGAGAAGTCCCGCCCCCTGCCCACTCCCCCAGAGAAGCGTCATCTGGAGTCCGGCTGCGAACCTTGTTACTCCCTTTGACGCTAACTTCCAGTCACCCAAAACCACCTACGCTCGGCGGACATCTTTACTTCGGGAAGGTATGCCTACCATTTCACCTGGGATGCTCAGGAAAAAAATACTCCTAGACATAAAGTAAACTCAGTTACATATCGTTTGAGGACGGCGATTACGTTTTCAAGGCACTGTTGGTCGAGGTAGAGGGTTGGTATATAGCGTACTTCCGCCCGAGTCCATGATGGCTGAAGCCAAGGCCGGAAACTACCTGCATTCTGGGTATTGTAGTCAATAGCGAGAATGGAGCCTACCAAGTTTGTTCGGAAGGGAATGCTACCCAAACATTATAAATAATCGCTGTCCTGTGAAGTAAGTCATCAAATGTTTTCGTGTGTTCTTTGAATACTTTTCAAACTCCAGGCCTCTCCGTGACTTTCTGCTTTTCGCTGCCGACGCCAGGCCGCGGTACTGTCCCTGTGGTCTCCCTTCCGTCACTTCCGGCGAGCCTCTCGCGGGTTCTGGGTTTTGGAGCGGCGGCCGCGACCGTGTAGAGGGAGCTCAGGGCTTCTATTGTAAGATTCACGGAGAGAAGCGGCGTCACCGAGTGCTGTCAGTCATGGTAAGCTGGCTGGGGACCGGGAGCGGGACGAGACCGGTGCTGCCCGCGGCGCTCGGCGGGGACGGCCTGGGTCTGGCGGCCGAGGTGCCGAGTCACCCGGGCCTGCGCCCCGCCGGCTCCGCTGTCCCGAGCGCTTCTGTCCCGAGTGGGATCCACAGTTACGAGCCTCCTCTTTTCCTCTTAGCTTGTCCGAGTCGTGACTCGTATGCTTCTTGGCGGGACTCGGGCCTTGAGAGTAGAGAGGAACCTGTTACTTTGTGTCCATAGTTCTCTTAAGAGCTCGACACGCAACAGGTTTCCATGAACTCAAAGTTAGCTGGGGAGTTCCTGGGGAGTGGCGCGAGGGAGGAAAACCCGAAGGACATTAAGCTTTTCCTAAGTTCCGTGGCCTTTTATGCAGCAGAGATAATGCCTTAGGACATATGTCACGTTGTGTTCATGAGGTTGTGATACCAACAGTAGACAACACCCTTCTTTAACTCCTGCAGTCCCCCTGGGAACATAGGTAGTTAAAGAGGTAGTAATCTCGAAAGTGGGACACTGGGATTTGAAGTCACACCCATCTGGCTGCAGTGATGTTTCATTACTACTGTATGTAGTGTTGACTCCATGTCACTTGTTTGTTAAAAACAAGAAGTGGTTATTAGATTTTACCCCGAGTGTCACTGTTAAATCAGATTTCTAAGTTCATTTATGTAACCATTTGATGTGTTAGGCATCAAAGCTTTAAACATGGAAGACAGGAGCAGTAAAGGACATGTTCATGGGTGAATGAGTTGGAGGGATATTGCTAGGGGTGTCGCGTACTCTAAGGATGTTATTTATGTTTCAGAGAGAAGCAGTCAGTGGCTTAGGTGGATGGCATAGGGAAGGAGCTTTGATGAGCTCACCTCCACTCTTCATTCAAAGGGGGTTTTGTGGGCCATGCACCTACGACTGAGTCAGACAGTTCTGGTGCTTAAAGAAAAAAATAAGCCGGGCGGTGGTGGTGCACACCTTTAATCCCAGCACTCCAAGGCAGAGCCAGGTGGATCTCTGAGTTCAAGGACAGCCTGGTCTACAGACCGAGATCCAGGACAGGAGCCATACTACACAGAGAAACCCTGTCTCAGAAAAATACGGAAGAACCATCTTTTAAGATTTATTGGTGGGGGATGTGTGTGTGTGCAGTAGAGGTGGGGGGTAGGTGAGTCTGTGTGCTTGGGTGCACATCTGTGCGTGTGGAGGTCAGTAGACTACAGCACAGTGTATGCGTCTGTTCTGTGCTGTGAGCGTTCTGGAGAAGCACTGACCCTGCCTCATGGCCAGGCAGGGGAGGCTTGCTGAAGGAAGAAAATGACTGTAGTAAAAAAGCCAGATGAAGACAGGCAAACACGGGCTGGCATCCATGGGCAGCGGCCTTTCCTCCACCTGGAATGTCTTTTTGTTTTCCTGTAGGTCTCTAGTGATAATCTCCTCCTGAACACTTGTTAATATCCGTCCTCAGGTGCTCTCTGTCTCCATTCCTGCCTCTGGTCTTTAAAACTCCAAGGCATTTGTGCTTTATTGTTACCTTCCTTGTCTTTAACATGAGATTCACCAGAGCAGAGGTGGTATCTGCCTTCTTAGTACCCCAGCATTCCTAAAGTGATGTTCCTTAGAGCCCAGATCAGAGCCGTGCAGATAGGAAGCACTTAACAAAGAGGTGGTAGTCTAAGGTAAGGGCAGAGGGGAAGGGGCTCCAGACAGCACACCAGGTTAGGAGATGGTGGGTGGTCAGTATACACCTCGGTGAGGTGTATGTAAGGCCCAGCCTTGATCTGAGAATATGGAATAGTAGCACAAAGAAGGGAAGGATAGTGGAAACTGGACCTGAGGGATGAGACGGGGGAGAGAAAAAGGATTTGAGGTTCATTGTGCTGCCTAGGAAGTCAGAACACTCTGGCCAATGAGATTACATTTATCACATGTTCAGTGTTTGGCTTGAAGACATGTACCTTTGAGCTAGATACAGTGTCTGCACTTGGAGTCCCAGTAGGTTATGTGGAAGGCTAAGTCAAGATCACTTGTCGGGCGGTGGTGGCGCACGCCTTTAATCCCAGCACTGGGAGGCAGAAGCAGGTGGATCTCTGTGAGTTCAAGGCCAGCCTGGACTATAGAGTGAGTTACCCTGTCTCGAAAAACCAAAAAAAAAAAAAAAAAAGAAAGAAAAAGAGAGATCATTTGAGCTAGCTTAGGACTTCACAACCAGCCTGGAGAACATAGTGAGTCCTCATCTTTTTTTTTTTTTTTTTT